GACCGGTTTAGCTCATATTTTAATATTTACTGATCCGGTCTATGTTTATGTCAGGATTTCAGTTAAATTCCAGGTCCAGTCCAGTTTAGTTCAGTCATATCAGTCCAGTTCCATTTTAAACCAGTTCCAGCTATACCGGTTAAGTCCAGGTGTCATGTCTGTTCGAGTCCAGCATCTTAACATATTAACCAGTTATTTTAATTTGTCTCAGCATAGTACTTAGTAATTGTTTATATCATGTTACAGTTTGAGCAGTCTACAGTCATCAGCACTTCCATTTTTATATCGACGGTTCAGGTGAGGACTCAGACTGGGTATTACATTGATTATAATTACTCTACCATGTTTGAGGTATGTATCATGCTATGTATCCGCTTAGAATGGTAGCCGGTCCAGGTGCGTAAACCCATTCTAGGTTCTAGTAGCTTTATCTGCGCACTAGAGTGTGCACATGGTATCCAACACGTTTGTGTTGGCGATATTGTAGCTATGCTATGCCATGCCATGCCATGATTTTTATATTGTATCGGTACCATGTTTCTACATGCTATTGATCATGATATTGCAATTATTTTCACTGTTTACTTTAGTATGAGTACCTACGGAGCACAGTGGATTTTAGTGCTCACGCCCCATGTTTATCTATATTTTTCAGGTCACAGAGTCGGACCGAGGTATGAGCTGACGAGCTGTTCGAGATTATGTTTATACGGTTTTTATATATATGTTTTGCCACACTATGATTTCCGCTGACGCTACTATCTTTTGAACTTATCCGTTTTGATCCGATTTACCAGTCGGACTTTTTATATTATGATAATCTGTTTTTATTAAAAGCTGAAATAAAGGTAACGGATTTTAAAGTAAAATATGGTTTATGGTAGCACTCCGAATCACGATTTCGCAAACTAATAAGTATTTTTAAGAAGAGATTTTGCAAAAATTTAACTCTGATACTTATGACATAGCGGGGTGTTCCAGTTGGTATCAGAGCATGTTTCTACGTCTCTGAATACTTTTACGAGTCAGAAATTTTTATAAAAGCCGATCGCGTCATGCTCACGCCCCGCCGACTACAGGTAAGTGCTGATTCATGTTTTAAATTATAAACAAATGACTATGTCTATGCTCAGTAAAACCCACAGTTATGAATTAGTTAGGATGCTCGAGTCATGTTCAGGATTTATAGTCCATTGTATCCATGATTCAATAATTCCGGACCAAGTTAGCGACTCGTCAAAAAATTTGTGTGTCTTATCACTCAGTTAATGTATCATGTTATGTCATATTTCTATGTTTAATCATGTCGAACGTTTCCAATATTCAGATGCCGCCACGTAGGGATCCAGATCATCAGGAGGTTCCCCAGGCCACCGTAGCCACTCAGTTTCACGACTACCATCCAGAGAAATTTTCCGGTCAGGGAGATCCCCGAATCGTGGACGAATGGGTCCAGGGTCTTGAAATGATTTTCAAGATCATGGACTGTCCCAACCGTTATCGCGTTCTATGCGCACAGATCCAATTGACGGGTGACGCACGTCTCTGGTGGAATGCCTACTGGGGGATGCGTCCCCGCGAAAAGGAAGCTTGTACGTGGGACAAATTTAAGGAGTTGATTTGTGAGAAATACTATCCTGCGTACTACCGAGCGGAAATAGAGCGTCAATTTTTGGCGCTAAAACAGGATACTCGTACAGTGGACGAGTATGAACGGGAATTTACTCGACTGGGAGCCTTTTTCCCCGATCTGGTGAGCACAGAGGCAAAGAGATCGAGACGTTTCATTGACGGGATTTTGCCAGCAGTCCGTCATAACATTGTAGGACATGGAGTCCAGTCCTACGCCCGTACCGTTACTATAGCACAGGAGGTGGACGCTAGCATCCGGAGGGAGGCCAACCATGATCGTCTTCAGCCAATTGCCCCTGCCCAATCATCCTCAGCACCACCCATTCAACCAACTGCTACTCAACGACCGAAGGACAAGAAGAGAAAGGAGAAAGGCTTCCAGACCGATAGGAGGATCCGTCCGAGACAGCCAGATGCAGCCAAACCGCAGCAGATTCCACCATGCACTACCTGTGGACGACCTCATCGTGGAGAGTGTCATTTCGGTCAGGACATTTGCTATTACTGTCACTAGCCCGAACATTTTGTCAGCAACTGCCCAGAGCGACCGCAACCACGATAGCAACCACCGCAGCAGCCACAACAACAGCAACCCAGACAACAGGCCCCGAGGCCACCCCAACAGCAGCAACGAGGTAGACAACAGGCTCGTATTTATGCTATAGATCAGGCCGAGGCGGAAGAACACCCAGGTACTATGTCTGGGATGATTATGCTAAACGATGTTCCTGTTTTCGCCTTATCTGATACTGGAGCAACTCACTCTTTTATATCACAACAATGTCTTGATGCCATTGGAGTACATTCTATTAGCGCTGTCGAACCTCTCGAGGTAAGCTTAGCCTCGGGACGAAAGATAGTGACTGATGCCAAAGCTATTGATCTCAGCCTTTCTATCGGTGGTCGTATCTTGACTATCGACGCTTATGTTCTCGAGATGAGGGACTTTGACCTCATTCTCGGTATGGATTGGCTAACTTATTTCCATGCAAACATTCGATGCCATGATCGGGAGATTACTCTTTATCTTTCGGGAGACGATCATATTACTTTCTTTGGCACCAAGACTCGTTCTTTACCTCATGTTATTTCCATGGCGAAAGCCAAAAAGATGTTACGACAAGGTGATTGCCAGGGTTATCTCGTGAGCCTTGTCGATGATAAACCGAAAGCACGGACACCTCACGACGTTTCTATTGTTCGTGAGTTTGTGGATGTGTTTCCAGACCAACTTCCAGGAGGACAACCTAACCGGCAGGTAGAGTTCTCTATTGATCTTATTCCAGGAGCCGACCCAGTATCCAAAGCACCATATCGAATGGCGCCAAAAGAATTGCAAGAGCTAAAGACTCAAATCCAGGAATTATTGAAACTCGGTTTCATCCGACTGAGTGTATCACCATGGGGAGCACCCGTTCTTTTTGTTAAGAAGAAGGACGGTTCTATGCTCATTTGTATTGATTACCGGGATCTCAACCGGTTAACTATCAAGAAAAAATATCCACTTCTCAGAATTGACGACTTGTTCGACCAACTGAGGGGAGCCTGTGTATTTTCCAAGATTGATCTACGATCAGGTTACCATCAGTTGAAGATCAAGGAGTCAGACATTGCAAAGACCGCTTTTCGTACCCGGTACGGTCATTATGAGTTCGTAGTTATGCCATTTGGCCTCAACAATGCTCCAACAGTATTTATGGACCTGATGAACCGTATATTCCATCCTTACCTCGATCAGTTTGTTATTGTTTTCATTGATGATATTCTAATCTACTCCAAGAGCCAGAAGGAGCACGAGGAGCATCTGAGGGTTGTTCTTGAAACCCTTAGACGTGAAAAGTTATATGCTAAATTCTTTAAATGCGAATTCTAGCTCCAGCGAGTAGCTTTTCTTGGCCATGTTATCACCCAGGCAGGTTCGAGGTTGATCCATCCAAGGTTGCCGCTATTCAGAATTGGTCAACACCGACGAATCCATCTGAGGTTCGCAGTTTACTCGGTCTAGCAGGCTATTATCGCTGGTTTATCGAGGGTTTCTCCAAGATTGCCCTTCCTTTATCCCAGCTGACGAGGAAATCTGTGAAATTCAAGTGAACCGATCGATGTGAATCCAGCTTTCAGGAGCTCAAAAAGAGGCTTACCATGGCACCAGTGTTGACTATTCCAGATCCTTCTTGGAGTTTCACCATTTTTAGTGATGCTTCAAACAGGGTTTGGGATGCGTACTCATGCAGGATGGCCATGTTGTTGCATATGCTTCACAACAATTAAAGCCCCACGAACAAAATTATCCTACGCACGACTTGGAGTTAGCAGCGGTAGATCATGCATTGAAGATTTGGCGACATTATTTATACGGCGGTCGATGCGAAATTTTCAGTGATCACAAGATCTTACAGTATATTTTCACTCAAAAGGAGCTCAACATGCGTCAACGTCGTTGGTTAGAGCTTGTCAAAGACTATGATTGCACAATTCAATACCATCCAGGGAAAGCGAATGTCGTTGCTGATGCCCTAAGCCGCAAGGTGAAGGGTGACTTGACTTATGTTGTTACTCAGCAAAACCATCTTATCCAGGAGTTGGCCCAGATGCAAATTTAGGTTGTTGATGCACTTCCTACAACGATCACGAGGAGTGTCAGTACTATGCAGGTCCAGCCTACGTTGAGGGAAAGGATCCAGCCGGAGCAGGCTTCTGATGAATTTATTCGTGCTATTGATGCCAAAGTCCGCGCGGGAGGCGTTGAAGGTTTCCACCAAGGCACAGATGGAGCCTTGGAATTTCAAGACAGGATCGTTGTACCGAAAGTTGAGGCTTTGCAGAAGGAGATATTGACCGAAGCTCATAACGCACCCTATTTAGCCCATCCAGGGAGCATAAAGATGTATCACGACTTGAAAAAGTCATTCTGGTGGCGAGGAATGAAAAAGGACGTAGTCGACTTTGTGAGGAAGTGTTTAACCTGTCAGCAAGTCAAAGACGAACACAAGATTCCCTTGGGCCTTCTGCAACCACTCGAGATTTCGAAGTGGAAGTGGGAGGAAGTCACGGTGGATTTTGTCACAGGGTTACCTAGGTCGTCTGAACATCACGATGCTATTTGGGTCGTGGTGGACAGATTGACTAAGGTTGCTCACTTCTTACCAATATCGATGAATATGTATTTGGATAAGTTAGCCGAGTTTATACTCGTGGAATCATTCGACTTCACGGAGTGCCTATTACTATCGTGTCAGACCGGGATCCCAGATTCACCAGCAGATTCTGGGAAAGTTTACACAAGGCGATGGGCACGCGATTAGAGTTCAGTTCGGCTTACCATCCAGAGACTGACGGATAGACCGAGCGGACCATTCAGACATTGGAGGACATGCTAGAGCTTTGGTTGTTGACAGGGGTGCTAAGTGAGAGTCGTTATTACCATTGGTCGAATTTTCTTACAACAACAGTTATCATGCTTCTATTCAGATGGCTCTTTACGAAGCACTTTACGGTCGTAAATTTCGTTCCCCTCTTTATTGGGACGATGTTGGTGAGAATCGAGTACTCGGTCCAAAGATGATCGAGGAAACAGCTGAGCAGGTTGAGTTGATCAAGCAAAGATTTAAGACATCTCAGAGTCGGCAGAATCCTCAGCCGATCGTCATAGACGAAAGATTCAGTTTGAGGTTGGGGAGCGAGCCTTCCTTAGAGTTCGTCCATTCCAAGGAATTGTTCGATTCAGAAAGAGAGGAAAGTTACATCCTCGTTTCATTGGCCTGTTCGAAGTTCTCGAGCGAGTGGGCGAAGTTGTTTATCGATTAGCCTTACCTCCCGAGTTATCCAATGTTCATAATGTTTTCCATGTATCTATGTTACGCAAGTACGTGTGCGATCCAGATCATGTTCTTCAGCATACCGATATCCAGATTCATCCAGATATATCTTACGAGGAGAAACCGGTAGCTATATTGGACCGACAGGTTCGTCGGCTCTAGAAACGTGATGTTCCCCTCGTTCGTATCCAATGGGATCGCCACGGTGCCACTTGGGAGCAAGAGGCTGATATTCGAGCTCGTTTTCCCAATTTTAAGTTTTGATATATATATA